CATATCATTCCATGAACGGAAGCTCTTATACATACCAGATCCTGACTTCATCGCATTTCTTCGAAAGGAATGCGAACTCCCGCCGTGAAGGAAGAAAACCGACAAGTGTGGAAGTGGGTATGACAGCAATCAATCCGGATATTCGCGAACCCAGCCATTCGTGTATAGGTTTCATGCGTGCATGGTTTTGTCGAGGGAATAGCTCGTCGAATTCCGTCGCTCAGTATTTGGCAGAGCAGAAGGAGAGAGTGGGGCAAAACCGCGCACCGGGCGATATTATGGGAGCTATCCGCACGATTCGCCCAGCGACTTCAAATAATCAGTCCAACAGATTCAATATATACTCGAATCTCTTTGAAAGTAAGCAAATATAACCCTCGAATTTCCCTGTCATCATCACCACAAAAGAGGTTCCAGTCATCATTCACCGTATATCCAGCAAATAGCTGGAGTTTCACCGACACACAAATGCGCAAAATTCTGTTTGAACCACGTGTAGTAAAAACCTACATTTATACTCCTGCTATGATTAACTTAAAATTATTTACATTTATTTTTAATATCACGGGGCTTTCGTTTTATTTTGAAAGATCCAATGCAGCATTCAACCATACATGAGAGGAAAAAAATGATCAATTATTAACCAAATTCGTGCTCTCAAAGGATTGGAATAATAAACCTGACTGATTGCAAGTGAAATGTAACTTCATCAAAAGCGTAATCTCAGCTAATAAGGCCTGGTCTAATAAGCTAAGACCTAACCTGCAACCTGATCTAAGATACTGTAATATCTAATCTAAGCAAAGATCCAACTTACTTTAATTTTATATACTCGCTCGACCTAATTTATAATACAGCACTGACAAAATTTGAAGATATCAATGGATTAGAGCATTTTACTGCTCTGATATATTTTGTCTAATCACTTGTCCTCCAGGATACAATTGCTCTTACTTTCGAAAGCAGTATCAACTTGGCATCTTTTCATGGTATGCTTCAGCAACTGGATTTTCAGGATAGAAACTGTTCTTCGAATTTTTGATTGTCTCTTTTTATGAACTCGAATGCAATTGCCAGCTATCCGAACGGAATTGAATTTTTCAATTTTTAGTTATCTAATACGAAAATCTCGGATAATCGAGGTTGCTTTTCATCCGGGAGTCGAGTCCCGCAAATTTAAATAACATATTTGTTTACAGGGGATTTTCGGTTGGTTCGACAGCCATTAATGAACCTGTATAGAAGACGAGAAACATGCACTCGCTCAGAGCCGTTCTAGATTTAAAATAACACAGAAGCCTCCGATGAAACTCGGGAGGAACTGAATCTCAACTCTTCTTTTCCTTCCTTCTGATTACAGATCGGTGTGAGGTATCCGTTATTTTTCACCGGTATTCCGCTGTCAAACACCCTTGCTGGTCTTTCCACAGCTGTAAGTTCGCCTCATTTATTTCCCGCCGTAAACGAGTGAGGTTTTTAGTCGTCTAGACGACGAATAATAGTCACTCAAGCCAATGATCTTTTGCAAGGAGAGAGCGGGTGATTAAAAACGAAACGAGGTTCCATACGTCACGCTCAACCGCACGACACACAGCTGTCGATTTTTCCATCAATAGATTTTAATTGCTTTTTCTAACCAGTGGATTTTTGAATGACGAATTATCGTCCTTCAAATGAAGCGGTTTCATGCGGATCCATCAGCAAAACACGTGTATCGTGAGTTATTGTGAGTTGTGACTGAAAGCATCTGGTGCGAATTTCTTATATTGAAGCTATCGTGATACTTAATTGGAAGATTGTCAAGTTCTTATGAGGGAAAATACTCGTGAAATTTTTTAATTAAAATACTTTTTCACCTCTCAACTTTGTTGCTGATGCGTTTGATCAAATGAGGAGATTCTCAGTCATTTGCCTCGCGGAACACTTTTTGAAAATAAATTTCAACACTCTTTTGGTCAACTATTTTTTTTTGTTATTACCGCGCTTTCCGAATAACGGCCATATTTCGATTAATTATAATTCAAGACACATTTCGTTTTCACAAAAATGTACGTGCTGAATTCAAATAAATATTCTGACAGCAATCCTTGCTATATTTGACAGGCCACCTGCTTGCTGGGTCCACATCCAGCAAAAGAATAATGCTAATGTTTAGTCATTTGCACACGTTGAAGGATTCAACTCCTGGCAGACCCTGAGAATAAGTTCCTCCTCATCACTGTTGTTTTTGTTTTTTTGAATGTTCGATATAATTCACTGGCCAGTTTTACCCTAAGATTAGGGTTGGTTTGTTAGCTCAGTTATAGCTTAGTTTATAGTGTTTTCCACTTGTAAGTTTCTGGTTTTATTATTTGAACACATGCCTTTCATTTGTCCTCCCAGAAAAGAGGAATGAGCTATTTTTATCAGCAACTTTTTCCTTGTTTCAATAAACAATTGAGCGATTCCGTCCCTGGTCCATAATTTGCCACAAAAAAGAAAACGTGAAAATCGAGGAAGTCATCAAAGCTTTCACGGTCTTGAAAGAGGCCTTGTGACCTTTGCGAAACTAGACTTTGGTAAGGTTCACAGGAAAGCAAATTGTGGCCATATGTGTTGGCTCAGCTGCATTTTGCACTGCACAAAAAAATCACAAATTACAATATCTCTCTTCCTACTGATATACAACGATTTTCTTCGATTTCTCCACGGATATTTCCACACCATAAAGACGTTTGTTGATTGATTGATAAATATGCTTTATTCGCCGCTTGTCTGCATTATTCAGAAGGTTCAGATCATTTTGCCCCTTTCCCCTCCTCTCCCTGCCCCACAGACACATCCATTCAAAAATGAAAATAAAATGTGCATCACAGTACAAACAAATTCACAAATTCTTTGATTGTCACCTTCTTTGACAAAAATGCAAAGCACCTAGCAACTGATGAACACATTTCAAAGCTCAAGGGATTTAGACTGTTCCCAGATGATTATCAATATTGGTTGAACAATTTAGAAAGAATCTAAGGATAAATTGTACATATATATAAGGCTAACATTTTTCTTTGGTCCTCAAAGATTTCAGAGAGAACGTTTTTATTGAATTGCGAAAATCACCAGTCTTTTAAAAGTTCCGTTTTGTTGGTGTGGAATGCTGCTGGGCATGAGAAAAGAAGATGTTTGGGTGATGCAGTGATAACCAGTATATTCAGACCGCAATAATTCCACCGCTTGGACAGTCTTGAGAATTTCATCATTTAATAAATTTGATGATAGGTCATTTGTGGAAGACCAAGTAAAAATGTCTGAGTTTCATGGCTCTATCACCGCATTCTTTCTGGAATATTTCAGGCCATCGCCATCAAGATTATTTCATTTCGCTGGAACTCGATCATTGCGGTGCGCGCGCGGCAAGATTTTCGAACCATGGTTTATCCGCATTCGTGATCCTTTTTCATTTTATTTTATTTTTCCGCGGGGGAACGTGGTTGCTGGTGATATTTCGAGCCTCCACTATATTAAAGAAAGAATAATCCCGCGAGAGTTCGGAAAGGAGGAAAGAGGCTCTCTCTCTCTCTCTATCTATCTATCTATCGCCATTATGCAGTCGACATACGTGCACATGATGCTGGATCGGCAGAAGGATGAACAGCGCCGATGGGAGAAGTACAAGCGTCAAAAGCTGCGCCAGCCAAAGGTCGTCACGTTTGCCGACCGCGTCAAAGCCTTCCTTCGCCGACTAGCGGCGTTCCTTTTCACGCAAGTAGGCGTATGTGCCCTCGTCGTGGGCTACACCATCGTCGGCGCCTTTGTCTTCTGCGCCATTGAGGAAGAACGCGGAGTTCAGCAGGTGGGTTACTATATTCTGAACCCCGTACCACTTTTTTTTGGGGGGGGGGGGGGGGGGGGGGGGGAACCACTTTTTTTTGGGGGGGGGGGGGGGCGCTGGAAGTTTTAACTGAAAGTTCTGCCAGCATCAAGCGAGCATCAGGAGTGCGACCGCGAGACTTATTAATTGTCCTCTGAATCTTCAATCTTCTTTCATTCAGCAGAAATAGCAGGTTGTGGATGCTTAGCAGAAATGAATTCCTTTCAAAAATTTAGGCAAAAAGATAAGTTATTGAGCATGACGGTGTATGGGCTAAAAAAAATTTTCTTCGGTTCCTAAATTTTTAAAAGTCTATGGGGATCAGGTAACCGAGCCCACAACCTCAAAGCGAGTAAATGTTTTCTTCCGATTATTCATTTTATTTTCCACGCATCCAATGCCAGAGGTTTATATGGACAAATATGAGCTAGCCTATGAGCTAGCTCATAAGAACCAAAAGAATGCGAAGAAAAGTTTTTGTTTCAGCGAACTGAAATCCGAAACAGTTCCTATAAACATATTCATCATATTCCTTAGTGCACTTCTGTCATTTCTAATAATGAGGCGCAATATTTTTTAGTTCGATCCTCATCCTTTAACATTCGATAGGTGATGGAAAAAATGACGATGACATGAACAGGGACGAAATTTACTTGCTTCGAAATAGCAGCAGGCTCATATGCATTATAATCATCCAAAAACGGCAAGAAAATAATTTTGGACTAGGATCATTAATGTTACACACCCGTATAGTCGTAGCACCTTTCTGGGAATGAGGTCTTTTAACGGGAAAATGAGTTGAAATGCGGCTTCACCTTGTAAAATGTTCCCTATTTTTTATTTATTTTTATTTTTTATACTCATTCCATTTGATTCCCACATCTTCTACGTTTGAAATTCGATGTGCAACGCAATAAATCACGACATACCGCGTGATACAAACTCAAGATCAGTTTTGTTTTGTTTTTATGGAATCAAAAGAGCGGACTCTTGATAACATCCTGATCTCGTTATAATAGCCATAAAAATGTTGAGGAAGTGTTTTTGACTATAGGATACATTTCAATTATTTTTGGATAAAGCACCTTTCGGGAGATCTCCACTAATTATTTCACCAGAAATAGAGGCAGGAGTGCGACTGCAGTGATTCCAGAAAGATATAATGCGAGGGCTTTTGCGAAATTTGAAAAATTTGACACTAATTTCCAAAAAAAAAAAGTTTTTCGCATTCTTTTGGTTGTTATCAGGCTTATTCATATTTTTCCATAACCTTCTGGAATTGGATGCGAAGAAAAAAAATTAAGATAATATTCACTCGCTTTGAAGTTGTGGGCTCGATGGCCTGATTTTAATAGACATTTAAAAAATAGGAAACAAATATTTTTTTAGACCAAACACGCTAATGTTGAATAATTTTTCTTTATACTATCTTTTTGAGAGAACTTCATTTCTGCTGAATAAAAAAAACGAACGTGGATAAAAGGCAACAAACTCATAACTTATGATGCAATCATTACTCTTTTCATCCATATACGAGTATATCTTGAATTGGCCCGAGTTCCAGTAATGTAATTCAAACAAAATAGAAGCTTCCGGGCTAGGTTTTTTTCAAGATTGTGATATTGGTTCAAGCCTCAAAAAATGCGGTTGAGTAAGTCGAAAATCTCACATTTTAGGCTATATATTTGATGCTAGATTCATTTACTTGAAGATTTCATCGAATTTAAGAGATTTATTAGGCATAGTAACCGATACGTCTAAATTCAAGGAGTAAATCGTGAATGGAACTTTCGAAATTTCTGCGTTTTTATTTCAATTTTTGAAAACTTTCGAAAAACCCCGAGCATAGAGAGAAATCATTTTCATGCATATTAGCATCAGCTTCTGCAAAACCGGAACGCCAGTATAATGAATTGTGCAGAAAAAAGGCTGGAACGGAGCTGAGTATTGAGGTCATAATTTATTTTACGCTTGATCTCGCGTTTGAACACATGGCCGAAAAAAAAAGAAACAGAACCTAACTTTGAGAGGGTGAAGTTATCAAGACATGTAATCGGACATCCCTGAGACTCTTTCGTGTATATACAAGTGAAAGAAGTGGTATTGGAGTTTAAACGAGGCACAGCAGGAAAAAAGAGCAGCAAAGAACTTGTGTAGGAATCAGGAAAGAAAAAAAAAAACTAGCGATGAAGGCAAGAGAAACTGCTAAATTTAGCGACAGAAGATGGTATTCAGACAAAGATGGCTTTGTGTGGATTTTAAAAATCTGTGATAGTTTTTAGATTTTCTTTCAAGCGCCGATCCCATTTAACTGTATGAATCTATTGAGTGCTTGTAACAAAATCCTAGCCAAAATTTTGATTTCCATTTTATATAAATGAAACCCTAAATTTCGTATTGCTCGTCTATATATGATCTTATATAAAAAAGAAGACCAGTTTTTAGTGATTTTTATATTTTTTATAACTTTGCCTCTCGGTATGAAGACGACGAGCCCTCGTATTGTACTTGAAAAGTTTAAATCGCATTTTTTCAAGGATAAAACGGAACCTCATGTCATACTCGATAAACATTGGCATTTTTAATAGATACATTTGTTCTTTACTGTAGCTTTTCAGTTTTTCAAAGGTGTCACATTTAAAACATGACACAGACGCGGTTTTTGAAGGTTACGAATGCAATTCTGATACAGTATCTTTTTATTTTTTAAGAGTCATGAAAATTTCAGATTTGAATCACTGTAAGGTCACGAAAATACATTTATAGCTTTGTAATTTTGTCATTTTGAGACATCATAATAAGTTCTATCCCCTCTTTACGTGGTATGAATAAGATTCAGCTCGAATCAACTTTCGTCTTGCGAGTTTTCAATTCTTTATGACTTTTATCTTAAAAGTTCTGATCATAGCAGTACCTTCTGTTTTGTCGTGTCTCGTTGATTGGACACGCACAAAGGCTTGAAAATAAGGTTTCCCAGGTGCTCTTGTAATTTTTTCGAAACGATTGCTTCTTAAAATTATAAATAACTTTTTTATTGCCCTAACCTCTGTCTTTAACTTTTTATTGAGCCGACCGTTTGAAACAGATCTCATGAACAGATACGCTTCAGATCCACCTTCGAAGTAGGCTCTTGGACGCATTGATGAAAACCGAATCATTTGTGGTACTAACCGTAAAATAGAAGGCCTTTGTCACGTGTCAAGCGTTCTTGTGTCTTCTTAATTTGCTGGCCAGTTCAGCTAAATTGATAGGAAATAAACCGAGGTTCTTCTGCTCCAGTTCACCTCTTCGTGAGAAGTACAGCCGTTCCTCTTAATTGGCTCTAGAAAAGCTCAGCGATTCAAAGCCGTCGAGCACAATTTTTATTCAATAACCGCCTTCGAATTCTAATAGGCTTTAAATGTTAGAAAGCGCAGCTGAAAACGTTTTGTGCAAAATTCCGATAATGAACTAAAAAAAAAAGCTTAAAATTTGCAGCGGGGCTCTAATTTGAAGATTTAAAAACCCCAACACCAGAGTGCTTCTTTCTGATTACCTACTCTATATATGTTTACGGTTTCTCTGGAAAATTTCGAAGAAATCTGGTGTTCGGGTATGGTGTCACGCGTGTTTCCGTCACGTCAATCTCTGCCGGCATCTTGAACTGAACCGCAGAAACCTGAAACTAAAACAAGCACGCCTTTCCATAAAGATTTGTCGCAGATTTCCCGTCCCTCACATTTATCGCCGACTCACTCAGTGAATATAAATATTGCCTCCTTGCGAAAATAAAAGAAATATTTTGTTTAGCTTTCAGCTTATCGTGAAAAAAATCTCTTTGAAGCCGCATGCTGCTCGCATGAAGTGTCACGCGCGTCAATCTCGACGACGCATTGAGGGTAGGAAGAAAAAGGGGAAACACAGAACTTCCTCAGAACTATGACCTGAATTTCTGAAGTTTTTTTTGTTTGTTTTTGTTCTTTTTTTTCTGCGAATCCCATCATTCATTCACATGTCGTAGATTTCTGGGCTCACCGAACCGTTCCAGACTTGGACGTTGAAACGTTGTGGCTGCCTGAATCGAAAATCATGCCTCTTCAAACCCTTGTTTGCACGACGAAGGAAAAAAAACGAACACACAGAAAATGCCAGGACAATCATTGTGCAGAAAAGGAAGCAGTCAAAAGTAACATACACAGTATTGCTGCATGAGTGTGATAAAAGAAAATGATTATTTATTTAGAAAGTTATCTTCTGTTTCATTATGTGTAGCGTCATTTCGACAGTTGATCAGGATCAGATATTTTACGCAGAATTCAGGAATTTTCCGTTTAGTAAATTCAGAAAATAGCTGGACAAAAATCATTCAGAAAAAATGAAGCTGTAAAAAGTACCATACAGTGAGTGTGTTATACAATGAAATTGTGTTCGATTTATAAATTTATCTTTTGTTTTCTTATGTGCAGTGTCATTTTGAGAGTATCTTCAACGCAAAAATCAGGAAGCGTCTGCATAGTAAATTAGGATTATATGAATAAAAATTATAATTTTTGCTAACGTATTTCATATCAAATGATTTCAGTTTTGTAGGTTGTCTAATGGTTTTCCTTTTGTTTCCTTCGGCTATTTTAACTTGTGACTGATCATCTTGTGACTTGTACTGGGTGATTCTTTGTGGGAAATCCAACATTTTTTTGTGACAAGCTTTTCGGGTAAATATTTAAGAGCTTGTTTTAAGACACTCCCAAAATTATGGTGTTTGATTAAAAGGCTACACAAAACTTTGAAAGGAGATATAATTAAAGCGAACAAAAAGGGTTCTATTGGCAAATTTTTGGAGGGTGATTTTTGCATTACAGGGTCTTTTTGTAACGTAGCCTATTTGGCGGACAAATTCGGGCGGATGATCTTAGCCCAAGACATTTTGTTTGAATGATTCCTCCCGGAAAAAATTCCCACATCAAAGCCTTCGATCGATTTTGTTGAATAGAAATCGCACGCAATCCGAAATCTTACTCGAGAAAACAGTTCGAAGATTGGCTCATCGCGTGGATCCAATAAATCCGTCGCTTTCCAGTAATGTAACAGACGATGTTGGTACTTTACGCTCGTCTCTTACCGGCGAGAGCTGAAACGCAAATAAATTCGCCCGTTTTTCCGCGAAATGCGAACCAAAGCGTCACATTAGTCAAGGGCTAACGAGTACTTGAAATTGCAGGCGCAGGAAGTGCGAAAACTGAGATCCGAATGCGCGGAACGACTATGGAACGTCACCTTGCACCTCAACATTCTTCATAAACAACAATGGGAACGAGACGTGAACCACTTCCTCTCTGACTACCAAAAGGGACTGGTGAAGATCATCAAGCAGGGCTACGATGGTAAACTGGATGCCAAGTGGACCTTCCCTTCCGCACTCATGTATTCGCTGACTGTTTACACGACGATCGGTGAATACATTGTCCTTACATATTGCTTAAATTAAAAATAATTTTAGCATGCATTTCTCAAAGGGTAAAGTTCGCTGATATATCGAAAAAGAAATATTTCCAGGTTACGGAAACGTGACACCGAAAACACCGGGAGGGAAAATCGTGACGATCATGTACGCGTTGATCGGGATTCCGTTGATGTTGCTTTACATGACGAATGTCGGCGATTTCCTCGGCTCGAGCTTCAAATATTTGTATTCCAAGTACAGCTCTTTGTGCAAGTAAGTTGTACTTGTGTGAAACTTTGAGGAGATAAATAGTATCTATGATTCGTCTGGATGCATCTGCAGAAAAAGATGTAACTTCAAATGTACACTGCTGTTACATTCATTATATTCTTCTTCAGCATATAATACAGAAATTTGACTTTCGGCAGCATTCGAGAAATAAACAGCTACGGATGCATTTTTGACTTGCTGTGTAATTTTTAATTGACAATTTACTCATAATGAAGGTGAATGTAATCAAAATTATTACCATAATAAAAATTCTAGGTGTTATGATCGATCCATAAAACCCAGAAATCGTTTCGCCATGTATTCATATAGTGAAAATTTATTCCGGATGTCATATAGCCTCGGAATTACGTCCTAAATTTTGGTATAATTTTGATGCATGCCTTGAATCGAATTCTGAAAGCAATGTTCTTTGTCTGCTACGTAAATTAAAATAAAACAGTCTGCAAAATTGCCTAATATTTCCACATCAAACGACACAAATGCAAATCTCGGTTTCGCGAACTTGACAAAAATACACCTGGATCACAAATAAGTCAAAACTCAGGACCAAGTTTGTTCTTTCTTCACCACCCTATTGCTTTTCTAGTCTTTTTCAAGACCCTGAAAGCTGTGCTCACTGACTAGTTGGAGTAATGAAGCTCTATAGTAGTAGAAAAACCAAATGCCTGCAAGTGCTGAAAAAATTGTATAAAGGTAGTTTTGCACGATAAAAGAGCACTTAAACGTGAATTGTACATTTAACAAAAATCGACTATATTGAAGTGTAAAATCAGCGGTTGAACATGTGCACTTTTCATTTTTGGCTCTTTTAAAAGGAATGTTGGTGCAAACATTTTTCAATCAAGTGGAAGTTTGTTGCAATTACAGACTTTTGCTCATCAGTTGCATAAATATCGATCTTTGAACGCTTCGGCCATTCTTAATTTATGTGAAATGCAAATATTCTCAGAAATACTGTACGTATGAGTCTGCCAACTTGAAACTTGTAGTGCTTAACTGAAATAATAAATTGACTGAAATTGAGGTCTTCAATTATTTTCATATACCTGCATTTATGTTCGTCAACTGATCGCTGACTTTTTATTTATTTATTTTTTGGAGGATGAGGAAACTTCTGTTGACAAGTTCGTGTGAAACACGAGGCGTCTTTATCCAGGGTTTTATTGCGACCTTTTTGAGGCTGTTCCAAAGAAATTTCGGAAAACTCCTTTCCCAATACTGTATATGCCAGTCTCAAAAAAGACATACACGTATTAGAGAAGGTTAAGGAAACTTGAAAAAAAAGAGAAATTTTGGTTTGGCCTATGCGTAGGTGTGAAGTGACTGCGAAACGGAGTAGCAGCAGAGAGAGTACCAGTGCCGGAGCCCGAACCACAAACAACAACTTGACAGCGATAAGCGCTAAATCTGCATCACCCGCCACTACGAATCCAAACACGGCGGAACAAGAACGGATCGAACGTGCCAAATTCCTCGCGAAACACAAACCAGTTCTCGTGCCCGCATCGGCTTGTTTGACAGTCATGTTCTCCTACGTGATCGTCGGCGCCCTCGTGTTCGGCGCCTGGGAGAAATGGGGCTTCATCGACGGCTCCTACTTTTGCTTCGTCAGTTTGCTGACCATTGGGTTCGGGGACCTGGTACCCGGGCAAGCCGTGAAGGAGTACACGGACAACACGTCGCAATACAAACTGATCGTGTGCGTGTTTTACCTGCTGATCGGGATGTCGCTCATTGCCATGTGTTTCAATCTCATGCAAGAAGAGGCCATTCACAAGATCCGAAATTTCGCTTATAGGATCGGCCTATTGCGAGCCAAGTAATGAAAGATCCTCTTTTTCCGTGTTTGCAAGAAAAATAAGCTTTTCATTTGTTTATTATTCATNAACATTCTTCATAAACAACAATGGGAACGAGACGTGAACCACTTCCTCTCTGACTACCAAAAGGGACTGGTGAAGATCATCAAGCAGGGCTACGATGGTAAACTGGATGCCAAGTGGACCTTCCCTTCCGCACTCATGTATTCGCTGACTGTGTACACGACGATCGGTGAATACATTGTCCTTACATATTGCTTAAATTAAAAATAATTTTAGCATGCATTTCTCAAAGGGTAAAGTTCGCTGATATATCGAAAAAGAAATATTTCCAGGTTACGGAAACGTGACACCGAAAACACCGGGAGGGAAAATCGTGACGATCATGTACGCGTTGATCGGGATTCCGTTGATGTTGCTTTACATGACGAATGTCGGCGATTTCCTCGGCTCGAGCTTCAAATATTTGTATTCCAAGTACAGCTCTTTGTGCAAGTAAGTTGTACTTGTGTGAAACTTTGAGGAGATAAATAGTATCTATGATTCGTCTGGATGCATCTGCAGAAAAAGATGAAACTTCAAAACACTGCTGCTACATTCATTATATTCTTCTTCAGCAATCATATACAGAAACTTGACTTTCGGCAGCATTCGAGAAATAAACAGCTACGGATGCATTTTTGACTTGCTGTGTAATTTTTAATTGACAATTTACTCATAATGAAGGTGAATGTAACCAAAATTATTACCATAATAAAAATTCTAGGTGTTATGATCGATCCATAAAACCCAGAAATCGTTTCGCCATGTATTCATATATTGAAAATTTATTCCGGATGTCATATAGCCTCGGAATTACGTCCTACATTTTGGTATAATTTTGATGCATGCCTTGAATCGAATTCTGAAAGCAATGTTCTTTGTCTGCTACGTAAATTAAAATAAAACAGTCTGCAAAATTGCCTAATATTTCCACATCAAAAGACACAAATACAAATCTCGGTTTCGCGAACTTGACAAAAATACACCTGGATCACAAATACTGTAAGTCAAAACTCAGGACCAAGTTTGTTCTTTCTTCACCACCCTATTGCTTTTCTAGTCTTTTTCAAGACCCTGAAAGCTGTGCTCGCTGAGTAGTAGGAGTAATTAAGCTCTGTAGTAGTAGAAAAACCAAATGCCTGCAAGTGCTGAAAAAATTATATAAAGGTAGTTTTGCACGATAAAAGAGCACGTGAATTGTACATTTAACAAAAATCGACTATATTGAAGTGTACAATCAGCGGTTGAACATGTGCGCTGTTCATTTTTGGCTCTTTTGAAAGGAATGTTGGTGAAAAAAGTATTTTTCAATCAATTGGAAGTTTGTTGCCCTTATACAGACTTTTGCTCATCAGTTGCATAAATGCCGATCTTTGAACGCTTCGGCCATTCTTAATTGATGTGAAATGCAAATATTGTCAGAAATACAGTACTGTACGTATGAGTCTGCCAACTTGAAACTTGTACTGAAATAATAAATTGACTGAAATTGAGGTCTTCAATTACTGTATTTTCATATACCTGCATTATGTTTGTCAACTGATGGCTGCCTTTTTATTTTTATTTTTGGAGGGTGAGGAAACTTTTGTTGACAATAAGCTCGTGCGAAACACGAGCCGCTTTTACCCAGGGTTTTATTGCGACCTTTTTGAGGCTGTTCCAAAGAAATATCGGAAAAAAAATCCTTTTCAATATATGCCAGTCCCGAGACATACGCGATATTAGAGAAGGTTAAGAAAACTTAAAAAAAGAGAAATTTTGGTTTGGCCTATGCGTAGGTGTGAAGTGACTGCGAAACGGAGTAGCAGCAGAGAGAGCACCAGTGCCGGAGCCCGAACCACAAACAACAACTTGACAGCGATAAGCGCTAAATCTGCATCACCCGCCACTACGAATCCAAACACGGCGGAACAAGAACGGATCGAACGTGCCAAATTCCTCGCGAAACACAAACCAGTTCTCGTGCCCGCATCGGCTTGTTTGACAGTCATGTTCTCCTACGTGATCGTCGGCGCCCTCGTGTTCGGCGCCTGGGAGAAATGGGGCTTCATCGACGGCTCCTACTTTTGCTTCGTCAGTTTGCTGACCATTGGGTTCGGGGACCTGGTACCCGGGCAAGCCGTGAAGGAGTACACGGACAACACGTCGCAATACAAACTGATCGTGTGCGTGTTCTACCTGCTGATCGGGATGTCGCTCATTGCCATGTGTTTCAATCTCATGCAAGAAGAGGCCATTCACAAGATCCGAAATTTCGCTTATAGGATCGGCCTATTGCGAGCCAAGTAATGAAAGATCCTCTTTTTCCGTGTTTGCAAGAAAAATAAGCTTTTCATTTGTTTATTATTCATCATTACGAGGTTACCCTTTCCAACGCAGTTCAAACTTACAGGGGATAATTTAAAAGTTTCGTCGTTACAATATCTTGAAATTGAGCTAATTTTCAGGTGGTAAAATCGTCTTTAAATCATAATCCTCATAAAAAATGTCCATTTTCGACCAACAATAAAACTTCAATCAAGCTTCGTCTGCTCATTTCCTACGAATATTCTTCGAATGAAACTTCTCACTCATTAGTAAAACCTTCACAGTTATCATATTTCACACAATGAATGCGAAACATTTTCTAATCGGAAGATCGGTTTAAAAATTTGAAATACTCGTTAGTTTTTCTTTATGTATTTGAAATATTTTTAGCAATCATAATACTGTTACTCGAATGCATAAAAGAGCAAAACGGGGTGTAGGTAAAACCTGATTTCCTCAGAATGACGCGGAAAAATTCTGACTTACCATCTCCGTTCTTCTTTGTTTTCGTGAGATCAAGAAATTGTTCTAATATTGCTAGGTGAGAATTATTTGTACTTTTATCCTCATCTGTCTGACAAGGTACCAACATAAGACTGACTCGTGGTGATGATGATATCTATTGCACCTGGAGCATAAGTAGAAAAACTGCACATTTTGAGTCGCTTGGAAAATAATTTTATTATGCCTAAGCAGTCACAATTTTCAACAACAAAAAATTGAATCTCTCCCCTTCGAACACGAGTATACTTGTGCAACGCATGAATTTCCTTCAGATCAGATCCCTGCATTCGCGAATTTCCGACACGCTCGATTCGACGGCAGAAATCATCCATCTTGAATTTTCTCCTTTTTAAAATTATTATTATAGACAATCACACCCAGTATTGGTTTTTTCTAAGAGTTGGTTCCCTAAAAGTTGCGTTGGAATCTCCTCGCATTTGGTCCGCCGCTCCAGCAGCAGCAGCAGCGACAGACGCACAGCAGCTCGGCGGAATAAACGTGCTTTGATGAGCTTTATTCACCTGCTGCTGATTATGGTCCTGGTCCATGGAAGAATGTGGGTTGGGATTCACTTTGGTGATGGTGGTGGGTAACACGGGTTGCTGGTTGTGATGGTGCTGCAGTTGGTTCGGATCTTGGCGCACCCGTGGCATTGATGAGCCGCAGCCTGGAGGGCAACAGGATTGCTGTTGGCTGCTGCGATGATGAAGTGTCTTGCTGGACACGACAGGAATGTCTATGCAGCCACAGCGAGTGTTCCCCTGTAATTTTTTTTTTATTGTGCGTGCATAAATTCGAGTCACTCGAAAGATTGGTGGCATGAAAACGTTGCGCTATTCGCGAATAAGTCACGCCGTCGAATGTTTTTCGAATGAACGTATAATTGTACGATATTCACTGGAGTGGTTTTTCAAGCTATATATGGACTTTACTCATTCCAATGCGCATTTTTAAAACGTGGGTAATACAGTTGCGGGAATTTAAATATTACACGAGCATGTAAATATGAACCATTTACAAGAAGTCGCTTGTTCAATTTCGGACGAGACAGTGTAAAACATTATGATTTGGTTTTTACTAAATTGCCTTTTGCTGTGTGCTGTTTCTTTATTACGTGTACGCTATTTTCGGTCTACTTTCGTGCCACGCATACTTCCACAATAATATGAGGATATACATTTTTTAGCTACAAACTTAGGTGCAAATTCAGCCCATAACAAATCTAACGAGTTCTGTTCGGCTCAAATCCAATTAGAAGGCTATCTATATAAGGGTTCCCTAACCTTTTTTGGGCCTCGGACAGGAAATTTCCGTAAAATTCTTTGCGGATGGGCAAAGTTGCATAAAATTTTTACAGACTTGAACAAATTTCGCTTGAAAGACTTTATGGCAGGCATATAAAAGTTTCTGATTTTTGCAAAAATTAAGTTGAGCCCAAATGAAGCAGCTGCAGTGGAATGTTAAAAAAAAAGAAAAATGGGCTTGAAGACAGGTTTTTCAGAATAAAAATTTAAATAATTTATTCCAGCATCACATGAAAATGTGTCTGAAGTATTATTAAGAGAAAAGCCAACTTTTATTTCTTCATTCAATAATTTCAACTGCCATTGCCTTTCCAAAGTTTCAGATAAAGACTTGATTGCTCTTCTTAATAAATTTATTATGCTGAAAATGTCCCGCGGAATGGCAAAAAACTTCTGCGGACCAGCGCCGGTCCGCGGACCACAGGCTGGGGAACACTTCTTTATATATTATTACATTTATTCATGGGATTATTTCGTTCAACATTTTAATTCGAAAAAATTATATTTTCAACCATGTAAAAGTGGGACGGGCGTGCGTCTTTTGCAGAGATAACATTTTTGACAAATTTCCGGTAAAAAAAAAAAAAAAAACTGGAGTGTGCGTCTTACTCGAGGGCACCTATTATGCTGGTACTCGAGTAAATACGGGAAAAATAAAATTCTTGAAGGAACATTTTGTTTAAGCATGCCCCTGTTTCAGTAAGATCGACTAATGTGTTACTGCATATTATCCTGTATAAATACCTGCTGCTGTTGTTGCTGCTGAGCGAAAGTATCACAGATCATCCCAGGGGAAGACGACAGTGACGCATTCGCAGCCGGGCCTCTTGAACAGCACTGAGCACTGCAGCTGAAGGCCTGTGACACCATCAGGCCAACGTGTTGCTGATGATGCTGGTCGGGATATCGCCCCAGGGTCGCAGTGCCGGCGTTATTGGCCTGCGAATTACTCATCGCTGGTCGTCGCAAAATAGTTTGCACGTCCACTGGCTGTCGGACCTGCGGCGGTAATCCACGGCTGCTGACAGCCCGAGACGACACGGACGCGTCATCAGTTTTCCCCGAGTTGCTGTCGGGCGTTATTTGGACTGATTCCAGAATAACTGTTCCGCCTTGGGAATGACAGCTGGGTTCAAGTGGCTGCTGATGCCTCAGCAAGTCGCCGGGAAGGAGACTGACTTGGCCCACGTCGCGAGTATTGTTAGACCTGCCGGAAAAAACGATGTGAGTCCACGCATACAACACATTTAATATCGCCAGATTCGCTGTCGTTGCTGCGAATTTCATAGAATTTTGCGATATCAAGCTTTGAAAAAGGGATCGAATGAGGCACACGAAAAATATTTCCGAGGAAGGAAGCTCATCCGAAAGTCAACAATCCACGAGGGATTATTGAAAAATTTCAGACGCATTATTACTGGAAACACATGTATTTTGAGCGACTAGTTTTAATAAATATTTCAAAACACTTTGGATTGGTAATGAGACTTGCAGCGCAGGCTACTGTTCATTCGCTGAGGCATTTTTAATGTTTGCAATCCAAACTTGAAAGACTTGTAATTCACAAAACGACATTTTTAGATCAACCTTCACATTCAGCATAACTCACACATAAATAGTTTATACGTTTTCCAAGATAATATCGCAGATTTTATTGTTGTGCGAGAATTGTTCTACTGTTTGAAAAATCTAATAGAATTTAGGTTACTTGCATGTTAGTGAAACACGTGTGAGACATTGTAACCCAATATTTCGTGCAGTGATAGGGTGGACTTTAAAGTTTAATTTTCTATTCATTTCGAACTTCGGAAACATTTTTGAAAAAAGGTTAAAAATGATATAATATTGCTAAGCTGTGGTTACAATACAGTACATTAATTCCCATCCAACAAAGAAGTCTCCATCCAAGGGACGCACAATCGTCGTATTCATAGAATTTTTCAATGCATATCCCGCGTGTTTTATTGATTTAATCACACTTTTTCCTGCAGATTTACACCTCTTTCCTCGTAGAAGTTATACAAATTTTAAAATAATTCGGTCCCCTCCTCCAGGGGTTGAAGCCTTTGCTTATGGTTTTTTTTTTCATTACGGCTGACTTCTGTAAAAAAAAAATTGATAACTGTGTTAGCCATTTTTGGACGCCTTCACTTGGGCAATTCGTAAAATGGTCGAAATCAGATTTTTTAAATCTCCCAAGTACTGCATGAATTCAGTGAAATTAATTTCGTGATGGTGAAGTTTACCAGCTATCAAAAATGAAATAAAGCTGAAGGTTTCAGCAGCGAAATCGCTCACTCTTTCTTCCGGTTCCGACCCAATGTGGCAGTTTTTTGAGTAGTTGGCGGGGTTTCTATTTTCTGATTCATCGTTGAAATGCTGTCGGAAACTTCTTCTTGCTGCACTATGCTTCCTCCCACAAGCATGTGAACTTCCCCAGCTTCCGTTTTATCTTGTTGCGCCAACTTTCCCGGACAATTGCTGCCACAGGGCGTGCTTTTCTTCCCGGCAATCACGCATTTTACAGCCACCACTATGACGAGGACCGAGAGACACACGATCCCAGCCACAACACAAGCTACAATCCAGGAGTCCTTTGTTATAGAAGGGTTACTCATGACGTCCAGGGACACTGGGATAGACAAGTTGGGTTCCTCGTTGGGTTTCACGGAGTCCGCAGCCCGGGATTGCTGGGTGTTCAGTCGCATGGCTCGAGGCACTATGTGGAATTTCAGCTCGGCTTCCGCAGGCTGAACCCCGTCGGAAGTGATGAGCAGAACCAGAGAGTCGTTCACAATAACCCTTTCGAGTTTGTTCCCTTGTTGCTTGTTGCTTTCGCTGCTCGGACGTGAAATCAGATAAATTCGACGCTCTCGCAAGTCTGACTGACTGAAAGCAATCGTTCTGCCTCGCTTTTCGGCGGTCTTGTCGTCGGCGTCTGTCTTCCCTTTCGTCGAGATTTTTATCTGCATGTCAACGAGGCCAAAATAAAATCAGTGACTGCAATAAACTTCGCCTATCGCACACATTTCTGTNCCACGGCTGCTGACAGCCCGAGACGACACGGACGCGTCATCAGTTTTCCCCGAGTTGCTGTCGGGCGTTATTTGGACTGATTCCAGAATAACTGTTCCGCCTTGGGAATGACAGCTGGGTTCAAGTGGCTGCTGATGCCTCAGCAAGTCGCCGGGAAGGAGACTGACTTGGCCCACGTCGCGAGTATTGTTAGACCTGCCGGAAAAAAACGATGTGAGTCCACGCATTCAACATATTTAATATCGCCAGATTCGCTGTCGTTGCTGCGAATTTCATAGAGTCTTGCGAATCAAGCTTTGAAAAAGGGATCGAATGAGGCACACGAAAAATATTTCCGAGGAAGGAAGCTCATCCGAAAGTCAACAATCCACGAGGGATTATTCAAACATTTCAGACGCGTTAGTGGAAACACATTTCTTTTGAGCAGCCCACTTCACGAGTTTCAATAAATATTTCAAACCACTTTGGATTGGTAATGAGACTTTCAGCGCAGGCTACTGTTCATTCACTGAAGTATTTTTAATGTTTGTTATTCACACTTGAAAAACTTGTAATTCATAAAACGACATTTTTAGATCAACCTTCACATTCAGCATAACTCACGCATAAATAGTTTCTACATTTTCCAAGATAATATCGCAGATTTTATTGTTGTGCGAGAATTGTTCTACTGTTTGAAACATCTAATAGAATTTAGGTTACTTGCATGTTAGTGAAACACGTGTGAGATATTGTAACCCAATATTTCGTGCAGTGATAGGGTGGACTTCAAAGTTTAATTTTCTATTCATTTCGAACTTCGGAAACATTTTTGAAAAAAGGTTAAAAATGATATATTACAGTATTGCTAAGCTGTGGTTACAATACAGTACATTAATTCCCATCCAACAAAGAAGTCTCCATCCAAGGGACGCACAATCGTCATATTCATAGAATTTTTCAATGCATATCCCGCGTGTTTTATTGATTTAATCACACTTTTTCCTGCAGATTTACACCTCTTTCCTCGTAGAAGTTATACAAATTTTAAAATAATTCGGTCCCCTCATCCAGGGGTCGAAGCCTTTGCTTATGCGGTTTTTTTTCATTACGGCTGACTTCTGTAAAAAATAATTGATAACTGCGTTAGCCATTTTTGGACGCCTTCACTTGGACAATTCGTACAATGGTCGAAATCAGAATTTTTTAAATCTCCCAAGTACCGAATGAATTCAGTGAAATTAATCTCGTGATTGTGAAGTTTGCCAGCTATTACAAATGAAATAAAGCTGAAGGTTTCAGCAGCGAAATCGCTCACTCTTTCTTCCGGTTCCGGCCCAATGTGGCAGTTTTTTGAGTTGTTGGCGGGGTTTCTATTTTCTGATTCATCGTTGAAATGCTGTCGGAAACTTCTTCTTGCTGCACTATGCTTCCTCCCACAAGCATGTGAACTTCCCCAGCTTCCGTTTTATCTTGTTGCGCCAACTTTCCCGGACAATTGCTGCCACAGGGCGTGCTTTTCTTCCCGGCAATCACGCATTTTACAGCCACCACTATGACGAGGACCGAGAGACACACGATCCCAGCCACAACACAAGCTACAATCCAGGAGTCCTTTGTTATAGAAGGGTTACTCATGACGTCCAGGGACACTGGGATAGACAAGTTGGGTTCCTCGTTGGGTTTCACGGAGTCCGCAGCCCGGGATTGCTGGGTGTTCAGTCGCATGGCTCGAGGCACTATGTGGAATTTCAGCTCGGCTTCCGCAGGCTGAACCCCGTCGGAAGTGATGAGCAGAACCAGAGAGTCGTTCACAATAACCCTTTCGAGTTTGTTCCCTTGTTGCTTGTTGCTTTCGCTGCTCGGACGTGAAATCAGATAAATTCGACGCTCTCGCAAGTCTGACTGACTGAAAGCAATCGTTCTGCCTCGCTTTTCGGCGGTCTTGTCGTCGGCATCTGTCTTCCCTTTCGTCGAGATTTTTATCTGCATGTCAACGAGGCCAAAATAAAATCAGTGACTGCAATAAACTTCGCCTATCGCACACATTTCTGTTAAGCGTCTGCTATAAGATCACATTGTATTCCACCAATGCAAAATCCTGGGCATCCGATTTTTGCGCGTAGACCAATTGTGTCTCTTATTAGCCGCAGTATTTCAAGACTCATGAAGGAAGTTTAAGCGATTTGATCATTGCAAAGCGTCGTGCAAATGATCTCCTCGTACTGATTTTTTTTAAATTTTCCCCACATGCAATTTTCCGAACATGTCAGAAAGAAATTAACCACCCGTGCATAGCAAATTCCCAAGTTGCAAATTCAGAGTTGAATTTGCAACTTCTTTTAAAATGTCTTGCAAACTTTGGGTGCAATCAGCGGTCTCAAATCTTACAGAAGTATTCATGAGTGATACCGTCTGAGGCACTGAATCGCTCTTTGTTCACCAAATGAACGGGAGGTTTAAACAATACTTTTCAAATTTGTACCAGAAAGTGTCAAAATCGGCAATTAGGAAATCATGAATTCCCAGTTTCAAAAGACCTTAGAAAAGTCTTAAAATCGACGAAGAACTCGTGATCGAACCTGAACTAGATAAATTAATTTTATGAACACTGAGGATAATTAGATGATATTGAACTGCGCGAGGAATTCAAACGCCCCTCTTATTTTGCACATACAGTATATATATGCCGGTATAATTTTAACGTGAATATTACATTAAAATTTTACAAAAAATCGTCTTTATAATTCCAGTGACGACGAGATAAACGATGTGAATAAATGAAAATACTTGACAAGGAAAGAAAATACACATAGTGTCGAGCTTATCGATTTTAGTGGTACAATGAGCAAGTGTGAACATTCTCCAAGTGGGTTAGCAAGCTTACCTTTGCATTCAATGGCTTCTTTTTCACCACGAAAACTGGGTCTGATCCCATCATTTTACCCAGCTGGCTTGCACTTAGAACAGCAGTTGTCAGTGGATACTTTTCCCCAAAAGTTATGTTGAAGGTTCTCGTCATCAACAGGGGTTGAACTTTAACTCTGTTCAAAAAAAAAATAGATGTAAAAAAAATCAGTGAAACTCTAGTATCGGATTCCCCCTAAACTTTAACACTCACTTCATGTATATTTCGGGCAGCTGATCACCCAAGAAATCGAACGGCTTCAATGCAAATCCGTCTTCATGGGAGGACATGTTCACTTGAAGGTAAATGACGCGATCTGCGTCGATGTCGGCTTGCGTGAAGAAGTCCTTCACCTTTTCGTGCCCGTTGTCTCTGACCAAGATTTTTCCGAACTTCGGGGGTTTCGTTATGTTGAAGAACACCTTATTTCGATCACCGTTGGTGTCGACCGACAGTTGATCCTTGCTAATCGAAGCAACCTGGAAAAGTATGGATTTCCCCCGCCATTTTAACAAGTCGTAGAGTATATTAACGCGTAGCAAGAATATTACAGCGATAAAAACCAATATTTTCAAACCGGAGTCAGAATTTTAAAAGGCAAAACTTCATGGGATCCGATGAAAACATAAGTAATCTACAGCTATCATGTATACATTTTTAAAAAGTTTTTCCGTGTATTTCTCAGAAAGTCCCCCAAAAATGTCTTTAAAAAACTTTCCTGTGAAACAATTGTCTCTCATTGTTGTTTTAACAATTACTCAAAGAAAATTTCAGCAAGGACGCACACATTTTTTTCGAAATATTATTTTTGCATTGTACTGCATAAATTAAAAGCGAACTGCTTCAATTCTTGCAATATAAATATGAAAAACGTAAACCGCATGAGTTGAAACTGAGAATGCAAAAATCACTTCATTTTTTCTAACACTACACTACTTATAAGCAAATATGTTATTTTTAATCGCGATGCTGTCAACAGCTTCTCTAAAATGTAAAAATTTGCGTCCATTACTTCTTGATTGAAGATTTTGGAATTTAAAAGGCTAGCCTTCTATGGTCAACAATAAGATTCATCAACGAGGCTGGTTTAAGCTTACATTTAAGCGGCTGATTTTACGCATACAATATACTGTAAATGTAACTGTTAAACTCACCTTAGATGAAAAAAAATATGCAGAATCAACGAACATGTCCTTCAAAAATTAATTCCTCAATTTCATGCACTTTCTGCTGACTCAACACGTAAGAGGGTTGGTTCATAAGTTTTGCGACGTTTTGAAATACAGTAGATCAAACAGAGAATCAACAATACAATTTTTCCTTCATTCGCATATCCCCATCATTCGGGAACACTTCATTGCTGTTCAACATTCTCTCCGCCAATTTCAATGCTTTTTTTTTCATGCAATAAATGCAACAATAAAATCGAGTTCCTTTAGTTGATCAGGCCCCCTGTGACTTTATGGCTGTTCCCGACATGATAAAAACCGACCTGAATGGGATTGATTTTGAGAAGAGGGTCAGCCTCATTTCTGCCATCAAGAGCAGCTTAATCAACTGACGGAACTGGATTTTTTTGTCACTGTTTTGCTCGTCGGGTTTATCGCATGAAAAAATGCATTGAAATCGTCGGGGATAATGTTGAACAGCACTGAAGTGTAGCCAGATGATGGGGCTATGCGAGTAACTTTTTGGGTGGAATTGATGAAACTCTGTTGAATCTATTTCAAAAAGTCGTAAATTTAAGAAATAATCCTCGCATCCATATTTACTGTGTCTTACAGAAACATACTTTCCGCGATGAAGACATATACGCAACAGAGGTACAGTATACATACGGTGCTGCCTTGCTTGATGGAGATGAGTCGATGGTTCTTGAGCGTCATCAGCAGTGGTACTATTTTGACATGCACTCTCTGAAACACGGGCTTGAAGTGACCGTCCCACACTTTGAAATAGAAGGCGTCCGGAGTGAGCCCGAATGCATCTTTCCTCCTCGTGAAGTCTCCCCTTTTCGCCGATACTTCCGGAACCCCATGATCGTATTTCACCACCCCGGCATTTATATCAGCCTGGGTAAAGACCAAACCCGTGCCGCGGGACGAAGACGAACCNACCCAAGAAATCGAACGGCTTCAATGCAAATCCGTCTTCATGGGAGGACATGTTCACTTGAAGGTAAATGACGCGATCTGCGTCGATGTCGGCTTGCGTGAAGAAGTCCTTCACCTTTTCGTGACCGTTGTCTCTGACCAAGATTTTTCCGAACTTCGGGGGTTTCGTTATGTTGAAGAACACCTTATTTCGATCACCGTTGGTGTCGACCGACAGTTGATCCTTGCTAATCGAAGCAACCTGGAAAAGTATGGATTTCCCCCGCCATCTTAACAAGTCGTAGAGTTTATTAACGCGTAGAAAGCATATTACAGCGATAAAAACCAACATTTTCAAACCGGAGTCAAAATTTTAGAAGGCAAAACTTCATAGGATCCGATGAAAAGATAATTAATCTATAGCTATCATGTACTGTATACATTTTTAAAAAGTTTTTCCGTGTATTTCTCAGAAAGTCCCCAAAAATGTCTTTAAAAAACTTTCCAGTGAAACAATTGTCTCTCATTGTTGTTTTAACAATTACTCAAAGAAAATTTTAGCAAGGACGCACACATTTTTTTCGAAATATTATTTTTGCATTGTACTGCATAAATTAAAAGCGAACTGCTTCAATTCTTGCAATATAAATATGAAAAACGTAAACCGCATGAGTTGAAACTAAGAATAAAAAATCGCTTCATTTTTTCTAACACTATACACTACTTAATTATAAGCAAATATATTATTTATAATCGCGATGCTGTCAACAGCTTCTCTAAAATGTAAAAAGTTGCGTCCATTACTTCTTGATTGAAGATTTTGGAATTTAAAAGGCTAGCCTTCTATGCTCAACAATAAGATTCATCAACGAGGCTGGTTTAAGCTTACATTTAAGCGGCTGATTTTACGCATACAATATACTGTAAATGTAACTGTTAAACTCACCTTGGATGAAAAAAAAGTATGCAGAATCAACGAACATGTCCTTCAAAAATTAATTCTTCAATTTCATACACTTTCTGCTGACTCAACATGTAAGAGGGTTGGTTCATAAGTTTTGCGACGTTTTGAAATAGATCAAACAGAGATTCAACAATACTGTACAATTTTTCCTTCACTCGCATATCCCCATCATTCGGGAACACTTCATTGCTGTTCAACATTCTCTCCGCCGATTTCAATGCATTTTTTTTCATGCAATAAATGCAACAATCAAAACAGTGCTGAAAATCGAGTTCCTTTAGTTGATCAGGCCCCCTGTGACTTTATGGCTGTTCCCGACATGATAAAAACCGACCTGAATGGGATTGATTTTGAGAAGAGGGTCAGCCTCATTTCTGCCATCGAAGAGCAGCTTAATCAACTGACGGAACTGGATTTTTTTGTCACTGTTTTGCTCGTCGGGTTTATCGCATGAAAAAATGCATTGAAATCGTCGGGGATAATGTTGAACAGCACTGAAGTGTAGCCAGATGATGGGGTTATGCGAGTAACTTTTTGGGTGGAATTGATGAAACTCTGTTGAATCTATTTCAAAAAGTCGTAAATTTAAGAAATAATCCTCGCATCCATATTTACTGTGTCTTACAGAAACATACTTTCCGCGATGAAGACATATACGCAACAGAGGTACAGTATACATACGGTGCTGCCTTGCTTGATGGAGATGAGTCGATGGTTCTTGAGCGTCATCAGCAGTGGTACTATTTTGACATGCACTCTCTGAAACACGGGCTTGAAGTGACCGTCCCACACTTTGAAATAGAAGGCGTCCGGAGTGAGCCCGAATGCATCTTTCCTCCTCGTGAAGTCTCCCCTTTTCGCCGACACTTCCGGAACCCCATGATCGTATTTCACCACCCCGGCATTTATATCAGCCTGGGTAAAGACCAAACCCGTGCCGCGGGACGAAGACGAACCCGGCGAGAGATCCAAGTCCACTTCCGCTGCTGGATCATGCTGACTGCCCAACTTGGCATCGCCGGATGATGGGTGTTGCAGTAACGTTATGGAACTGTAGATGTCACTGCCTTGCGGAAGCTCCATCCTGAGACGCCCGAGTTTCGGCCCATCGACGATTTGGTAGGAGATGCCCTCCGGTGGGGTGTCCGGGTCTGTCGTCAGCACATTTTCAGGTGACAACGTCGCTGTCATTCCTTGCACGACAGCGACGACTGAGGGTTTCGTCACGAGCGTGAATGGCTGGTCGTTCACGGGATCGATATTGACAGTCAAGCTCGCGTTGAATAGACGAATATCTGTCATGGGCGTCGTCTGTTCTTTCCGCAGGAAAAATCCTAGAATCGCAAAGTGAATATTGGAACAATTGAATCAAGTAAAACGAATTGCGTATGAAAGAAGAATTTCGGGGTTTCTTTCAAAGAATTATTTGAAAATGATGTGGAAGAATGGAGAGAGAATTACTTAAGTCACGGCCCGATATCCAGTGTGAATTTTTTCACCCGATATATATATTTTTTTCTGCAAAATGCATAAAAAGATAGGGTATTTCCAACCGCTTTTTCACGGTGTCTCTTTTAATTTCTCGCAGTGAAAATTCCTTCCTTGTGTCTGTTTTTCTTCCTTTTGGAAAAATTCAGCTTGTTTTTTTCGCAGCGTTTTCCCGCAATTCATTTTCATTAAAATATTATTATTTTTTCTTACATTTCCTCATCTCTCGGATGATAAAACATCTTTTTTCCATTCACTTCTTCTTGAACACAAATTTCTCCAGACATTATACTCGTATTTTTGACATTTCTTCTCCCCGACGTTTCCTCCAGTTCGGCATTTTCGAAACTGTACTCAACATCTTTTCATGGGGCCGACATGTTTTAATTAGCTTTAAAGTCAACTGAGATTCTCTTGTACTTGACGATCCCAAGCAAAGGAACGGGTCACAAGATATAATTAAGAAAAGTTGCCCACAAGTTTGGTCTGGTTCCGAAATCGGCTCATACTTTTGTTAGTTTTCGGAAAATGGATTTTCCGTAATTTAGCGCAAGACTCTACACTTTTGGAGTTATTCCGTGATTACTATGATTCATTACCTAATGGAATGGAGTCATTTCGAGTATCTGAATGATCGTGAACATAGCAGATCAATCCTTCGGACAAAGACGTCGCAGGCAATTCGATGGGAGAGCCATCTCTTGGATGCAAACTGCGCCCGTTTTCGGTAATGGCACCGTGCTTTGGCTTGTCCATCAGTTTGACGACAATCTATCGAGGAAAAAAAAAGACCAGGAAAATAAAATCCAAGTTCGATGCAGCTTCGCAAATCGTAAAAAGCATGATGTTAGCATAACTCAAACCGGCAGCTGACGAGGAATAAGTACTGTAAAATGTACCTTCGGCAAAGGATACAAAGAGCCGACGTTGCTGTCGGCAGATGCTGCGTTTTGGGACATTTTAGCCAGATGCTCGGCAATGAAAAGCGACAGCGGAGTGACGTTAACAGATTCTTCGGGGACTAGACAAGCGATCGCTCCTTCTTCGACGATCAGGTTTCTTGTCTTCAGCTTATCCACCAGGCCTCCACCCACCCCGGACAAACCGATGGCGACATGTACCACCTTGATCGATGATTATAAAATTCTCTTCGTCAATTGAAAATATTCACATACTTTTTTCCCCGACAGTTCCTCCTGGAGGATCACTCGAGATGACCCGACTCGCAAAATTTTTTTTTAAATTAAAAGTCAGCTATCATTCAGTGTTCCCGAACCCGTGATTCAGATAATGGCCTCTCAGTTTTGCAACAAAACATCAACACGAAAGAACACGAAAAAGTGAATTTTATTTTCGATTTAAAAAAAATCATGGAATAATTTGTGAGAAGAAACTCACCGCTCTGGCCGTTTCTCCGAGTTTCTCGTCCATTACTTTGATTTCAAAAGAATCCATGTCATTCCTTTCAACCTGTTTATCACCGTTTTGCACCATCCTTGGTCCGTGAATGTAAATTAATCGGTTTTCTCCGACATCTTGCTGAGAAAATTCAAAAACCTCTTCGAGATTTTTCGTGTCATTTCGATTTCCGTCGTTCCCTAGGACCAGTTTCCCAAGTTTCGGCGGCACATCCACTTTGTAAATGATCTTTCTTTGACCAAGATTCCAGTGTTCTTTTCAAGAGGAACAACGAAAAATAAGGAGCATGTGACGATGAACCAGATGAATGATGGATGTTTCACAACCATTCTTACCAAGTTTAATTCCTTTCCGCACTTCGAAGTCGGGGCCGATGGGGTCGTTCAGGATTGCCTCAATATTTTCCGTCCCGAGTGTCGCACTTGACAAAGGAAAAACTTCCAACATTTTTTTCGTCTTTATGCTCATCAAAAGTTTTTCGACATAGATGCGAAGTGAGTGCGTCTGGCTCACATGAGCCCCATCTGTAACTGCGAACTTGAAACCCGCAACGTTTCCACCTTTAACAGTTCAAATAATATCATATCAATGTTCACGCAAAATTTATTTTCGAAAAAAGACGACTTCAAACTGAAGTTCTATTAAACCTTTCCGAGCCCAGGGACTATAGGAGAAAACATTTCGACGGAAAAATGCAATCAAGAGAAGATGACGAGTGAAGAAACCGCCGACGAGAGAAAAATAAAAACGAAATGTGACAGAGAGGAAATGACACAGGATGAAATGCCATAGGAGAAAACTTTGGATAAAGAAGCCAGTTCAAAGAAAGCATCAAAGGGATATGCCACAAGTAAAAAATTCCAGAAAAAGGTACTTTCGAGGAGTACAATATTCACCGTGAACCAAAAATAAAAATAAATAAAGCAAGTAAAATCAGAAAAGCTTCCGCAAGCACGTATAGGAGTTCTAAAATTTTACCGTCTCCGCTGATTTTTTTTTTCTCCTGTGAGGCAATTTATAGTTTGACATTTCCTCTCACGTTTCTTATATGTATGCTCTGAAGTTTGCTCATGGCACAAATTTTTTTTTGAAAATGATTTCGAAAAATGTTTAACCCCATTCATGAGATCATGACTGGAATAAAAACTCCCTCACTGCGTGAAATACAATATACACAGAAAAAAGCGGAATGAGGTTCTCGGTTGACATGCGTCATTTGTCGCTGATTTGGAGCTAGAATATTTTATTCACGGCTTAACCATTTCAACGAGTTTACATAATGCACCCCGTGTCTCACCAGTGTGTTTGAAGATCAAAAGACAGCCTGTAACTTGTGCTTGAGTGAATTGGAGCACGGGACGGAAATCCAGCATAAATCCACTATTTCCGACACTGACAATATGCTGTCGATCAACAGCACCGTCGAGGCCATATTGCGTTGGGGACTGGTGCATAGCTGGCAGAAGCGACTCTACCTTGACGTCATCGTCGTGCCCTGGGGGCTTTATGCTGTCCCCGGAAGCCATTGAAAAGTCCTGAAGGAACAGCAATTCTCCTCCTTCCACGCTCTCGACATTGTAGACAACGCTGTGATTCGGCGTATCTTCGTCTTCGAATGCTGTTGAAAACGATTTTGAAAAGTTCAGATCAAACGAGTCATTTATAAAAATAAATTGCAGTGACTTTGAAGCCGTGATTCCTTTTTCTTTTGCAGGAAGAAACTTTTCCGTCGAAATTTGTTCAAAAATGCTTGAGTAAAATAAAGTTATTAATTCTTAATACAGTTTGTTTAAATATGTAATACACAGCATCAGAAATCTCAGTTCGATTACCTTGAATGCAACGGAACTCCGATTTATCCGCGCTATTCACGGTAAAAAAAATCACGATGATCAAATATTGAAAAATAAAAATGAGAAAAATTAAACGATTAATTGACATGCCAATGGCCAATTTTCCGGCAAATCTTAAAAAATCATTGAATAGGAGGATACCATTCTACTGAAGTTAATATGAGAGTCCCTTTTTCGTTCATCAATTAATTATATTTTGAATATAGTTCATAAACTACTCAGCTAACGAAATCTGCGATAATCAGATTCACTAATTGAACTGGCAAATACTGTAGTTCAATTCGATTTCAGAGAAAAAATGCCACTGTCATAATTACCCACGGTTCATTGCTGAAATAATTTGCGGACAGATTGTCCTCGCAAAAAGGAAAAGTTTGTCGCACAAATTTCAAACCTGTGCATCAACATGAATCAAATTTCTGATAAGCTTCATAATATCATCTGAACAAAATTAAGGATAATTCTCATGCACTGAATTCATGTATGAAAAAATGAAAAAAATTAAAAATTCTTTAAAAAATTAAAGAAAGCAGCCACAATATTTTTTCAGAAAATATAAAAACGTATACGAACTGGTGTAGAATTCATGGAGCATATTTTCGACTAGTGAAAAAAAAATATATCGTTTCAGTTCTCATGAATGAATTATGGGAAAAAATGTCGCGGATCGGGTATCCTCGAACACGCTCTTCCGAATATATAGCATAATGACATAATGATGGACACTGATGGAGTCGATCAACAACAAAAACAGTACAATATGTTCTAGCTGCATTTAAGTAATACTCCAAAAATAATATTATTGAAAGAATCGCAGGATATGGTACGGTACTGTATTTGTTTTAGTTAAGAGGCACCGGTTACTGGCGCAATGCTGAAAAGTGCGTACCCAAGATGTCGCTGGTAATGGGCAGTAGACCACCTTGCCAAACCCTCGGTTCGAGTCTCTTCACCTGGTTTTTGTGTTCTATTTTTGCACGAGGGGGCTGGTCGTTGACCTGGGTGATGTTAAAGACCATCGGAGTCAAAGCACTTTCCCTGCCATCCATTGCCCTCGCGACAATCAGAGCTTCGTCAAACAAGAGCTCTGAACCGTCATGGGTGTACTAAAAAAAGATAAAAACAAAATGAAGAATTTTTAGAAAAAGCGCACAAGAAAAATGCCACGAGGCAACGAACAGTATAGCCTCTTACTTGAACAACGCCCTCGTTCAGTAATCGAGCGGTAAATGTGGTTATTTGCTTTCCGGGGGCTGAAACGAGTTCCAAGCAGCCGTGAGACGGAGACTTGTCGACGATGAATTCCTTGACTTTATCGGCATAATAAAGCGTGACGATTCTGATGCTTTCTGCTAGGATTATTTGGCTCTGGCCTTCGCTCAAAAAGATTTGGTCAATGTCCATGTTTATGAACTTCGGCACCATCACGAACTTCAGCAGCAGGTTTGGTAGAACTGGGAAAAAATTGGAGAAATAAAAAATGGGCTTTCGAAGCGAATGAGCATCGCAAAAAATTTCAAGCATGCATAACACGTCAGAAAATTGAAAGAAATAGATCATTCAGCCCTTCAACATGAGAATTTGCAACAGCTAAAAAAAATTCTTCAGCACGTCGTACACAAAAAAAACGGCGCAAAATTGACGTGCATGCATGTTTTTTCGCGCATGAAATGAGAACAGCACTAAAAATTTAATTTTCATTCTGTTGCGATTTTTTTGAATTCATTTCCATTCTTGTACTCCATGCATTTGCATACAGTATACAACCTTCCACTTACCGATGCATAAAGACAAGGATAAATGTTTTTTGCCCAATGCCCAGAAGGAATTAAACATTCATATGCAGCATGAATCCTCCGGAATACTTTCGATATACGATATACGATGTACTCGTATCTACCAATTTAAATTTTATAAAGGAGGAATACTGCGACAGAATGGCAGGAAAATTTTAAAACTCATCACTTGAATTTATTCGCTCCATTGAAACATCGGCATTCCATTTTCAGTAGAAATTGCTAAAAACGTGGCTAACATTTCCGTTTGTCCCATGAAAGTGAGGACGCAAGTTCTAATATTTTCTTTAGAAATTATCATTCTTGGAAACATGATGGTGATTTTCATGCATACTCTTGTAAAGTGTTTTTTTTCTGTGAATAACGCTAAGTGTATTATTTTCGATGGGCCATAATGTGTAAAGAAACGTTATGTGTGAAAATACATGGGTTACATGAGGAAATTTCATGAATCTCGTGAATGCTGAAAATCAAGCGGCAAATAAAGATTATATCTGACTCATTCACTAAGAAAATGTCGTGAACACAATAAATATTCAAATTAATTTGTAAACGCAACGTATAAGAATCGGCTTTTAATTTTAAAATCCCTTTTTCTGAAGGAAAACAGAGATTGCGCATCCACACGTTCTCGCATGAATAAAGTACACAGCAAAAAAGGGAGAATGTTTTGATGACGATGTTGAATAACTCAATCATTAAAGAAAAGTCAATAACACAATTTATTTTCCGAATCATTTATAAACGCAAAATAAGTGATGGCTTTTAATATTTTTAAAGCCGACCTTTTTTCAAGGAAAATAGGATGTGCATCCATGCGTTCTCCGAAAAAAAAAGAATTTTGCAGAAAAAAAATGAGAATGTTTGTATGACAACGTTGCATAAGTCATTCACTAAGAAAAAGTCGTGAACGCAGTTCATTTTCCGATTGATTTTTGAACGCATCATACGAATCGCCTTTCAAGATTTTAATATTTGCTCTAAAGGAAAAAAGGGATCGATTTTTCCATAATTAATATGGAATATATTACGCAGACATAAAAACAACGTAAGAATCGTTCAATTCACTTATAAACGCCACGTGATAATCGGCTTTTAATTTTTAAATCTTTTCTTCTAAAGTAAAGCAGGGATTGCGCATATATCCACACTTTCGCCTATGAATAAATTATGCATCCAAAAAAAAAAAAAAAGAGAATGCTTCGATGACAATGTTGCAAACCTGTGATTCCGTTGGTGACGTCGAAGAGAATGAAATCCTCGCCTCCGTCCGTCAACCTCGGCTCGTAGATCAATGACCCAGCATTAATGGCTGCCTGATCAAATCTCCGCACAGGCTCTTCTGCTGCCCGATCGATCCCTTCATTATTATTATGTTCGACCAAACGCAAAACCCCAAAGGCCGGTCCGCGCATCACAGAGAAAACCACGTCTCGTGGCGCCACAGCCCGATGGGCCACGTTCAAGTGCTGCTTCCCGATCCGGGTTCCGGGTTTAGCAGCATACCCCGCCCTCGTGATGCTGCTGGCACCAGCACTTCCACGCTGCTGCTGGTGGTGGTCGTGGTGGTGTTGTTGCTGTTGCATGTCCATCAGTTCGTCTGGTTCTTCGACGAGGATAGTGGCGTTGGCCTTCACGACCAACGGGGCCCAGTAACCCCTGGGGAGCACTTTGATTTCGAACCGACCCTGGACCACGCGGCCGCTGGAAGTGTCCTTCAAAGCGAATGCGAAGCTGTCGGACGTCTCTGCCTTCGGGGCCACGACGTGCTTGTGTCTATACTCCAGGGCGTTCAGCTCAATGTCCTATGAATAAGTAAGCACTTAAGCTGGTGTTTGCTAATGCCTTTTGCCCCCCTCCCCCCTCCCGGCATCCTTTCCTTCCGGACTCTTTCCGCAAGAAAAACAAGGTCTTAGATGCAGGTCGTGCGAAACCCTGCACCAGCAGACAAAATTCGCATTCGTCGTGACAACCAGCGGCCCGAATAACCATGGGTATTTACTCGGAGTAATCTCAGTTAAGCTGACCCTATTTCATACTTCATTTTCTTCCTTCCTTTTCCCTGGGCACTGAAAACTGCATAGAGCGCGTTTCGCATGAATGATGAAATCCACTCAGCAAGTTTTCTTGGGAAGGATTAACTAAAGGTTAACATCAAGGTTCACGGAAAATGTTGCGCATAAGGGAATGAGGTGCAGTACATTCTGCTGACGTTACTAGTTCCTTAAAGAAGCATCAATGGAAAAGGAAAGGACTAAAGTTTTCATTTCTGTCATCGAGACTTGAAAACTTGATTCGAGATTCAAAAATGCTGCACTTTTTCAATGCGCAAATCACGGCGACTGATTAGAAACTTACCTTTCAAAGAACTATTTTGTAAAAACCAGCGCAGAGTATATTAAAAAATTAAGAATATTCGCATTTTATATGCCAAAATCGGTGCGTTTAATCTAAAAATGCTCAAAGAAGTAAACTTTTTAAACCAAAAAATGTAAGAGGAACCTTATACAATTCGAAGAAAGCCTCGAACTTATATAGACTGATGCATTCATTCTACTTTCCAATTGCCTTGACCGAAACTGAGAAACCTTCACAATTCCAAATTTTGGAAGAGTTTACTGGGCCAGAATGATCACATAGAAATGATTTCCCTCGATAAAGGTAACAAACTGGAGTTCGGAATGATTTGCAAAAAAGTTTTCCAGTACCATTTTAAAAATACTGTACGCTGCATGTAGGGATATTTCAACAGAGTTTCAAATGGCCTCGATTCCTTAGAAAACTCGATATTGAAGAATCTTTCGTTTGACAAAAAAATTTGATAAATATTTTTTTCTACTGGAGATTATCTGGCTTATGGCCCAGTTGTCAGACATGGAATTGTTTTGGAATCCTGAGCATCCTTGAGAGCTATGAGCTGCAGCTCATTTAAGATAAAAATGCATTGAGAAACTTCTTTACGTCCCAATTTTTATCCAAAAAAGCACGAAATAGAATCATTCTTCTTTTAAAAACTTCCACAGATAAAAAAAAAATATCTCCCGCGAAACAAATTTATTGGAGAACCAGAGGATTATAGGATGGAACTAAATTTTACAACAAAATGTCTGAGGAAATTAGCCTCCCAATCAATGACGAAAGCTTTCATTTGGAGTACAGAGCTCATGGGTGAACCTGCTAATCGAAAAAATGAAAATGAATTATTCAGCAGCCCCTAAATAATTTTGTCAAGTTCCTTTATTATTTTTTTTTTCATGCTTTCGAAGCTTCTAAAAAATTCGGCGTTGACTTTCCCTCAAGTTTGAATTGAGGTTTTCCTTCAGTTGGTTCAAGCTTTCCTCAAACCTACCTTAACTCACTGGTGCAGTTTAACCTCACGCAAGAAAGAGTCGGAAGGCCAAATTTTCTGCATTCATCGTTTGGCTCGGATGAATTTCAGCTTGGTGCATTCATGACCGAGAAAACGAATCATGGCGTTCAATGATGTTTCGTCAAAAAAAAATATTAGATTAGGCCGTAAACAAAAAAATAACGACGGAGGATGAAAGAGGAAAAGCAAGCATACCTTCTTCTACGACGTAGCAGAACCGTTTTAGCAATTTAAATGCCACCAGAGAAACGAGGCAGAAACAGCAATTGCGTTCGTCTCGAAAGGAGCATTTCCCCCTCGAAAAATGTAAGGGACTTTTCGAAAGTCGCGAAAGTTACATAAAATAATGACTATGGGGAAAATTTTATAGAAAAACACCCATTTTCCCATTTAAAGTCGCGGGGTAGTGGTATATTGACCGTGAATTGGTGACAATAAACAAATTTATTGAACTCAACCCAGTTTGGACCGAACTCAATGTTCGGAAAGCATGGAGCAGTCAACGTACAGTAGTTTCAAAAGGAATGTCGATAAATAAAAAAAGGACTTACGGGTATTTTAAACCATTTGAAAAGGTCTCACAAATATTGACAGCAGGTTGACACATTGGGATGATTTTTGTCAGTTCCGCAGTTTCACTTGGTGCTCAAAATGTTTTGTAAAAAAATCATTCAATTTTTTAATCGCCTTCTGAGTTGCTATTATTGAAGACAATTTTTTTTTACAGTGTAAAAGGCTCCCAAAACGTGTTATATACTCATAAGTACGGTATATCTTCTTGAGACTATTGATGAATTGATGATGCAGATCGGTCATAGTGAAGGATGCAAATTTTATTTGAGGAATCCTCGTGAAAAGGGAAGCACGGAGTTTTGAAAATTTATGTTTCAGTCTTTCAAAAAATGGTCAGGGATTAAAATTAGAAACATCATGCTTGTTTCACATTTTTATCCACTCATACAGACGTACAGGACGGACACATTCTTCCCAGAGTATTTAATTTAATTGACCAGATACGATCATACGAGACACACATCTTACACATTTTGTCCCTAAAAAGTATAACGGTTTTGCTCACAAGTTTAATTTGTATTCTAAAGACCTCAAATTTTTTCGAAAAAATCTGCTGATTTTACAACAACTTCACTTCCAGTTGAATCTTATCATGCGATTTTGGAAGAAAGCAGGAATCTCACTGTTGTGATCTTGAGCTGAGAATGGGGATACAGAATGGAAATCTAGATTTAGGAAAACTCGCCATTTTTCTTTGGCTAGGGACAATCCTACACCGGATCAGCGAATCCAAAAAGCCATCAGATACTGTATATGACATCTTGAGACATCCGTTGCCATGAGATTCAAGACTCATCCTTCGTTTTACGAGTGAGATTTTGTAAAAATAAATAAAAATAAAAAGGGCCTCACACCTGAACGGCTATCATGAATGACTCATATTACCATCATCAACCTGGGGGTTTGCTGTCCCCCGGGCACAGATTTGATGGCAAATTCCAAGACTTTCGGGAAATCCCTCGCGGGGAGGTACTTGCCTGCTGTGTGAAATTGCCGCCGGGCTTCAATTTCACGGCCCTGAGCAGCAAATCCCCGTGACTCGGCAGCTCCAGGCCCGCATAAACCAGCTTCTCGTTCGTTACATCCGAATTGGCGTAAGCAGTCAAGTTCCCGCCGGAAATCACGGTAGTCGACCCTGATGGCACCACGAGCCCCGTGTTCGTGTCCAGTCGCACGAAGGGATCCGAGGCCAGGATCCGCAACCTATCCTCAGTCCGGAACTCGCCATCGGAAACGAGGAAATTAACGGTTTTCGCAGGCTCGAGTCCGTCGTCCACGTAGGTCACTAGTCCGGAATCGACCTGTTGCTGCGTGAAGGCGGAAACTTTGGTCAACCTTTTGCTGATGATGTCGTCGACTGTGTGGAAACCCGGGGAAAGTTTGCCGCGCGATGTCGGACCGGAAACGACGTTGTCTGTGATTTTGTAGAGCAAGTCGGATGCGGAAGTTCCGGTGTCGGAATCGGTGAAGTGCAAATTGCGACGAGACAAGGTTTTCCGTCCGCCGCGGACGATCTCGAGCACGTTTTCCAGGCCGAACTGATGATTCACCGACACCGGCGGGTTGTCATTGCGCAGCTGGATGGCAATCTTGAGCTCGCCAAAATAAAAGAACCCGTTTTCTGCAATGCAGTAAAACCCCCTCAGTTAATTATCCGTACTTTCATATAAGCCAAGAACTGTATTTGGATAAACTAGCATTGAAAAACTGAGATGTGGAAAGCGAACCGTGTTTAATTGCGAGTAATGTTTTTATGCAAAACTCGCGTGTTTGTGACTAACATCATAGTTAATTATACCTTATATATGAAGTTATGCATATGGAATTACAGTATATTATATTTCATTACCTCTACCGTTTCTTCCAATGCATTCGTAGTTATTATCTTGATGGTTTTTTTTTTTCAGACGATGAAGTCCTCAAAACTTGGAGCACTTCAATCATCGCTATTGTACGTGAAACAATACTTCGAATGTCAGAAGAATTTTTTGAAAAATACATCACTAAAATTATTGCAGATCCCTGGTAAACAGTTGAAGGTAGAAGGATTGAAAGACATTCTTTTCTAAAGCCAGAAAAAAGTTATAGTCTTCACTTACTTTTAAATGATGGGCAAAGAAAACAGCAAAGCAAATTCTCTCTGGCGTGAGGATTATTTTGCAGTAATACCTATGCGAGTATTTAGGTCAGTGTCTGAAAAGAGTGCCATTGCTTCAGCATTTACGGGGATTTAAAATTTGTTAAAGGACAGATTGTACAAGAAAAATAAGAAAACGTCCGGTTAAATGAAAATAAAAACTTCCAGAAATGTCCAATAATCTTTCGGGAAGCCCTTCTTCAACTCGCCTCCATGGATACGTGACCAGTAAAAAGGATTTTTGGGAATAGAATTCAAATTTTGAAGCAATGGATTGCTAGGTTAACCATCCCTGCTGTACCAGCGATGAAAATGCTATCTTAGTTAGAAATTGCAAATTTTCGACAGTGAATTTAAACCAGATATCCGCCAGACAGAAGATGAATAAATTCGCGATGCCTCAAATGCAAGATGATTTTACGTCCAAATATTTCGGGGTATCATTGTTATACAGTATAGTTAACTCTCATCTCAACTGAAACGTAACCCCAACTAAAGCGTACAAAATGTTGTTAAAACATTTCCACTATTTGTTCCACTCAATCAAGCCTTTATTCTGTTAAATTAATTCAATCTGAGGAAGTATATATATTAATACCATCGAGGTAACGATGTGGAACACCTTCCGCAGGAAAATCCTCTTTGAACAAAGGAAAGCTTTTTCATCAGGCCGGCTGAATATATATACTGAGCGACTATGCAACATGTTCCCGGGATAATGAACAGCTGCTGAAAGTTGAAATAAAAGATACAAGAGATAGGGTAGCAACACTTCCCCCTTTGGATCGACAATAGGTTATTGGAAAAAAAGGTACTTGGAGAGACGGAGCTTCCTACTGGGAAAAGATCGGATTTCCGCGAACATTGTTGGTATGCCCTCAGATAACGCAGGGAATTGCACCAAAGGCTTACTGAGGAAGTCAGTCGTACTTGAATAGAACTTCTTTTGACGATAATACACGAAAATCGAGTCTCGTTACTATACCGTGTTCTTTGAGAAGAGATAAATATCCATCTTACACGAAGTTTTATTCATTTTTAAATGCTGCGTGACTTATTAAAAGAAAGGCGTGAACGAGTTTAACGTTGAACGTCACACAGGTGAACTCTCGCTTCAACAATCCTCCTCAAACTTGGCCAAATTCATTGCGAAAGAGGTGATTTTTTGGTTTAAAAACCTTTCAAAACATTACCAAAAGGTCGACCAGGACTAGGAACGTATGGTATTGTACGGAGAATCCCGAAAAAAATCGTCGTGAGGTAAACTGCATTTTTTATCGATTTCTCTCCACGGAGCAAAAAAAAAAAATAAATAATGGTAACAGATGACGTTAAATTAAATATTCAGCATCAATAAAGAAGTGAGACTCTTCGCGAATTTCGTTTACGGTGTCAGGAAAAAACCCGCGGAACAAATGATTCGGGGAACGGATGAATGAAAAACGCAGGGTATTCGATTTTTTTTAATGCAAAAGGAAATTTAAAAGATGAAAGTCATCAAACGGAGAAAATGTCGAGAACCAACATTTGATTTAAAAATAACCCTAGTCTTGATTTGAAAAGTATCAAAAAGTAAATTCGTGAGAGCTCTTATTCCGCCCATCATTGGGCATATCATTTTCAAGTGGCACATTTCATTCTCTGCGATTCGTTTTTCTACGGGCCATCTTCGAATTTTCGCCTTCCGTACTTTGACATTGAAAAAAATTTCCTTCCATCGCTACATTTCAGGTCAAAAAATGTTCTGCCATTTTCTCTGTTTTTTTTTTCGTTCCAGTTTTCATCCGGAGTATCCATTTTTTTTTTCAGGCGGCCCCCTTCTCTTTCCATTATCCTTCATCAAACACGCTCGACCTCCCTGTATTTTATTTTTTAAATTTCCATCGTTCATCCGACATTTTCTCTTATGGTACTGCATTTCGTGGAGATAACCTACCTCCACTTTTGGCGATGAACTGAAACGAGTCTTCAGTAGTTTCGGATCCGTCGTGATCGTAAGACAAGGCTCTGCTATTCACCAGAAGATCATCCGACCGAAAAATGCTCACTGGACCACCACTTGCGGAAACCAATAATCCGTGCGACGGCTGTCGAACCACTGTGAATTCCAGCGTCTATTTTGCAGGAAAGAAACAGTCGTCGAAATTAGGCATTATTTTCCAAGTGATTCACGCGCCAATAGACTTGCAAAACATGAGCAGATTTTTGTTGATTCACGATGAACGTATCATGACGAAATCTGTTCGGAATGGAGGTGAAATAGGAGAAGAAATTTAGCGTCGTTTGGACAGCCGAATGTTTTGGTGCTTCTCATCGGAGAGGAATGAGACGATTTTGGATAATCATGAACAGGAGCTTGTATTGGAAATTGCAACGAAATAATACGCAAATGGCATCGTCACGGGCAGCGATTTGCTTCCGTCAAAAAAGAGATATCAGTATTATTTTTTTAAATTGTCGCATTCCTCGAAAAAAAAACGATTCTTGAATTTATACTTTCCAAGTGAATCACGAACGGATTTGCCGCAAATGAACTTTAAAATATCCTTTGTTCTCTTCCAATAAGCGCCGAGAAATTTGCGGTCGTCCGCATCATGTTCTTTCAATTATTTGGCAAAAACCGCATTTGCCTCTGTGACAATGCTAAAATTACTTTTCTCTTCCACGAGATGTGTTTCTGTGAAATTGAGAAAAAATCTCAGCAAGTTTGGAAAATGCATGAAACGTCAAAGAAAAATGCGTCAATTATCTGTACAGTACTGATGAAGCCTTTTGGTAGACCAAGTATTCGAATTTTCGTCACAATGTGAAATTACTGTGAATCTCTAGTCGCGAGGGAGGGAATTTTCACGTCTAATTTTGCGGAGAGTTGAAAATTGCATTGAATTCGGGAGAATATCACCGAAATCCGGAAAAAAGATGCAAAAGAGAATAAAATGTGCTGAGATTCCCTGAAATTAAAAAGCGCTGAGCATTTTAAAAACCCCTCGAAAATTCTTCCTCTCATACGTGGGGTCTATGAAAAAAGCACCCTGTAGAGATAAAATCTGCAAATATAAATAGCTTTCTTAGAAATTTGCACACCTTGAAGCCCCGTACTTCGAGCCACAACACGGAACTGTCGACGGGCTTCTTCGATCCTTCAAGAACTTGGAGCTCTTTGACGACTTCCCGTTGCAGCATTCGTTTGGCTGAGGATTCGTTCTTGGGAATGAATACAATTTTCAGGGTTGCCGTCGGACTGCGAGCTAAAACCCCATTATTGTTTCCTCCTGTTCGGTTCCCCGGACGAATTTCCACGTGGAATCGGAACTCATCCTTGACCGGAGACGCGGAGTTGGATGCCAGTGGGTTCATCGTGAGCCACACCAGTCCCCTGTCGACGTGTTCCTGACTGAATGCCCGAGATGCTGAAACATCCGATTCTTCGCCAGAAGACGCTTCGGAAACCAACAGTTTGGCGAAAGTTCTTTCGCTGGTGTTGTGAGAAGAATCCGTCATTAGTTCGAGGGTTCCGAACAATGGGTTCGACTCCAGGATGTACACCACGTTGTGTTCCTCGCTTTCCGTCGGATACGTGTTCGCAGACAAAATCTGAAGAGAAGTTTTCAAAAATGCAAAAAACCGGAAATCCATCAGATGAACATCAATTCGGATGATCCAAACTTCAATGATCCGAGTGTTCAATATTATCCGAAATTGTCAGAGGTTTCGACCCTATAAGAGCGTATAGGCGGTGGTAGATTATCAACTTCATGATACCCTTCACGGAACTTTAAGGATTACAATAGTACTTCTTGGCTGCGTAATATGGAATATTTATTATATACATTTACGTCCAGATTATGACAGTCGTGGCATCTATATATTTAAAATGTCCCTAATCGAAAAGAGCCGCAAACTACATTAGTTTGAATATTCGTTGCTTTAATGAATAGTATTCGATAATTATGATTTCGACTTCAATTATTTGATATTTTCCAGTAACTGTATATGACACACTTCGATTTGTATTGAGAAAAACTCAGCCAACTAATTTACATATTTTGATTACCTGTTATATTCCTATTATATTTTTTTTCATGATTCCAGGTGATGCATAGTACTTGAAGATTTGCTGACAATTTTCGATAAATATTGTTGGCCAAAATACTGTTTTGGCATCTCTTAAACTGAAAATTTCTGGTTATGTAATATTCTATAGACCATTAAATTGTATTATCCAGTTTTTTGAGGTAAATCTGAGTTCTGATTCATAGGCTACACATTGCACTCTCATCATGTAAAAAAAAAAAAACTTGAGCGAATACTGTATATCATCTGCAAGAAAAATCATAATTTTAAAATGAACGTGCAGTATTACATAATAGTTAAGCACAAATGGTTTCATTGTCTAGATGAGATAATCAAAATGTTCTTTGCTCACATCAGGTGTGATTTCCAGAACCTCTGATAAACTATTTTTAATCTTTTCGGTGCAACGTTTCAGGAAAATTAGGAGATTTCTCCAATTATTTTTCAAAATTCATAACTTTCTGCCCCCAAAATTGTCTGAAGATACCCTTCCTTCGGCAAACGTTTTTTTTTCGCTCTCGAATTCCGCCCCAAAAATCAGACCGAGTCTGCATTTATATTAGCACAAGGGCTTATGATCTTGTAAACACGACAACTCTTTCGTTTTCCCAACGGAGAAGCTTTCAACAGTTGCTAGCATAAAAAAGCTTCTCTGGCAAAAGTTCGGATATCATTCATACATTTTATTTCCCGTCCAAAGGAGCAAAAGTGCATCCAGGCCGTGAAAATATGGTCTCCTCGTTTCCATCTCCAAATTGCTTTCTGCTCTTATTCCTGGCAGAATTCCATGTTGCAAGAATCATACCCGAGGACGGGAAGGGTTTCACCATGCAGTTTGAAGGTCACTGAATGCAAAGCTATTATTCCTTTCCTTTGAAGCTCTTCTACTAATATTCATAATAAATGTGACTGGGAGCGACAACCTCATACCCAGTCAACTCAAGTTCATCAAATTATTTATTTGTAAAATTGAATAAACGTAAAACACAAAAACAGGTCGGCCTTTCAACGGTTGGCTCGTAATCTACGTTTCTTGGAGAGTTCATAGTAAAAAATTATTTGAGAAAAAGTCGTACACATTTTTTTTGGAAAATAATTATCACATTCTTGAAATTTTTATTTTCTCGTTGCCATCCTGGGAAGAAAGTGCCGAAAAACTTTCAAATAATAGCCCAGAAGACACAGTAGCATTGCTCTGGAAAATTAAAATACCGTATGTTTTCTCAAAATATCCAGGTATCTTAATTGTGAGTCACTTGAAAGCCCGACTAACCAAGAATCCTTGAACCGTCTTTCAAATCGAAGTTTTAAAAATACAATTTTCCTGTTTATATCTATACGTGCAACTAGAGCACAACGAAAATTGAACTACAATTGTAGATTGATTGCATAAGGCAATTGTAATATTACTTGTGTGAGGTATCGTACAATGGCTCAACATTCTTAATAAACGGAAATACATTTGTAAAGAAACGATCAATGGATTGGGCATATAACTAAAGAAGCGTTGTCCGAAGTCCAAATGTAATTACTCTCGGTTTGTCAAATGTCTTCGCTTCATTCGGTGGACGTTTCTTTCAAAAAATTTTCAGGCTAAACAAGTAAAAAAGCCGTGTTGTCTCCATGATTCCAGCAGTATTTACTGAATAAATAATTGAAAACGCCGTCCGGGTCCTGAATAAGAACTGCGGATAATTGCAAAATGAGGGGCGGGCATAAAGCTTTATATACTGTACCTTGTTATCTCTGTTCTACATTCAGTACCTGCCAAATTCCCTTCATCAGTAATTCAAGCGGCAGACTCAACAATTCTTGGAATTTCTGGGAGAAAATGGCATGGAATCCCACGAATCCTTTCCGAGTTGCATAAAATTCGGGGGGCCAGGAGAAAAAATGCTTCCGCTGGATTGTCATTCCGATCCCGAAATTTTTTAAATTATACTCTACCGGGGGAAAACGATTCAATACATACATGCAGAAAGAATATTTTTCTGTAGTTTAGATTCGATAATTTACCGGTATCGGCATTACATTTCAAGGTTGAATCGGCAACGGTATGTTCGTGAGAATTGTGACTATGTTGAATGATTTATCTGCTGCATGGAATACTGCGAAGCTCTGGGCAACATCAAACCTTCATTTTTCTCGTGGAAATGCACATTCTGCAAGAAACTGCTGCGGAATGTAATAGGAAGTGTCTTGGTGAGTTATTCGTACTCGATAAAGAAAGTGTGACAATGTTTTTCCTTGTTTGAGTGTTGTTTGTTTCAGCTCATGTTCTACTACGTGGGAAGGAGAAATAAGTTAACTTCACATATTCTGCTCACTCCTATGTGGATGAGTTGCGTTGTCACTGTCTATCACATTGCCAATTCCAAATACTGTACTGAAATTTTAATTTTTTTCTGTCTTGACGCGATTAATTTGGTGTTTCTCTGAGAACTTTTCATTCGAAATGAAAGGCCGCTGAAAATGCAGCAAGTTCGCTGCACTTTCGCGAATTAATTTCAAGGTTGAAACTAGAGGACTTTGAAATTCATTCATCTTCTTCGTGGAATAAAAATGGTTCATGAGGAACCCGGCCAACATTTTCCTCGCCTCTTTTCTAATTCCATCCTTTGCCAATAAGAACTTTTGACTTATCTTTGCTTACATGATCTTCTGTCAGTACATTACAGAAAGTCATTAGGCGAAAGAAATATCGCGTATTCTCTTATGCAGAACTTCATTCATTCTGTCGGGCTCATTAACAAGGCTGATTGGCAGATTATATGGAGTACCCGACGTACTTATGCTGAAGAATATGTCTAGAAACCGACATTTCCGTCAGTTTTTCCAGCCTCACGATCAATAAAGATGACTATACACCGATTTCTTCTGATAATCTTTCGTAGGCTTATTTACTTTAGTCAAAAACAAATGGTTCATTCTATGTCGTAAAATAGTTCGTTTAATATTTATATCAGTGAAATTCCAGGCATTAAATTAATTTTGTGGCTCATGAGATGAGATATCGAAATTATTCCATGCGGCTTTCAAGGGCCCATTAGATGTGAAAATGAGTTTCACGGGTTTTATAGAGTGCTAACAATTTACAACTTTAAAAGTTAATCGGATACGTCAACTGTTCGTATTATAGCATTTAAAGTCTCGTGCAGAGTTTCTGCGAAAACGATGAATCTAATTAGGTGCTCCATCAAAGTCTAACGCAGATAATTGCAAAAGAAGAATATAAAAGATCGCCGAGTGTGTATTCATTCGAAATTCATGAAAAACAATTGCATGGGTCATGCTTGAAGGCTGTACACCTGTCAACCTAAAAAAAATATTGAACTTGAGGGCATTATGCAAGGAGGATGTACTTTGTACAAGTATTTTGCTTATTTTTCTATCGACTGCGAATTCAGTTAGTTGCTTTCAATTTTTTTTATAATTCCTGACATTCACGTACGGCATTAATCATCGATTGGACTTTTCAAGATCTCAGATGTTTTCGCGCATTATTTTTCCACCTGAAAACGATCTGAGGTATTTTTACCTTTGAACTCATGCTGATCCCCAAGAACTTCTGTGAATTTTTTTATCGCTCGCGTTTCAAACGAACTCTGGCATATTACGAAAGGTACTCGTGGAATAAGATAGTTTGTTCTGTGTTTAACAACGATAATGTGGTCATTAACCAGAAACCGATGAATTTTTTTTAACGGGATTCTGGTGCTTCACAAATGTATATGGAGGAATAACAAACCCCCAGGCAAGGGCACCGTTAGCCTGGGGAACGTTACTACTTACCTAACTCAATTCTCTTTACTGCGAATACTGTCCCATAGGTTCCTACCAGGATCCCCCACCCTCAGATCTTTAGCGGGATCTCGGACATGGATCCGCTTTTCATTCTGGGTGGGTCGGGATTATAATTGATTTCGGGTCAGTAAAGAGAATTGAGTTAGGTAAGTAGTAACGTTCCCCAGGCTAA